TGAAGTTGAAAACTTCCAAGGCTCTCTCCCTTAATGATCCATGGAGTCTGTTAAGGAATGTCTGGTTCAAGCTTGAAGTTTGAAGTTGATGCAAGCGGGCGACCCTATGCTACAATGGCGCACGACGAAGCCACCAAGAACCACCCGGGCGGCATAAATGATATAAACTCCTCAGAGAAAAAAGCTCGAATGTATGAAACTGACTACCCAAACGACGGCTATAAAGCTCTGCGCTTATATTTGTCAAAGACCAATCCAAATTGCGAATCCCTCTTCCAGTATCCGAAGAGAAATTGGTCCCCAACAGACGACATGTGGTATGAAAACAGGCCCGTTGGCGTCAATAAGCTGAACGGAATAATGAAAGAGATCAGTAAAGAGGCCAAATTATCCCGCCTATACACTAACCATTCAGTCCGAGCCACATCAATCACAGTGATGTCAAATGCAGGCATTCCTAATCGCCATATAATGGCCATATCTGGGCATCGAAACGAGCAGAGTTTGGCACACTACAATACGAGGCCTTCGACCGAACAACTGCACCACTGTTCTGAAACTCTGTGCTGTCCCAAAGTCTCACTTCCTCAAGCCAAGCGATTGTCCCGGCTACTGTTCATCTAAACACAGCTGTTAAAAACAACAATGTGGTCGTAGAAGTTGCAAGACAATGTCCGACGAGCCAGTTTAGCTCCATCTTTAGCAACTGCACAGTTCAAAACGTTCAACTGGTCATTCACGAGAAGTGATCACTAGCTGATCTATCCCAACGGGTGTAGACCATGAACATAACCTCTGTGATTCATCTTCTTTTAGACTCTCATTTCTCCGCGAAGGCTTTTATTGACGTTTTTCATTATCGCGGTATTTTTCTTTTAGAAGAGGCGCTGTAAAACATACTTTGAACTTTCTTGATAGCCAACGGTAAATGTAAATTTCCTTAGTGTGCGCGCGCACATYTAAGAGAGTTTTGACATGTGATTATACGAATAAAACATTTTTCAGAGAATTAAAGTCGTTATCTATGTTATAAAAGCAATGGTCCATAATGCATATGAGCGTGCATATATCCAGTTCTGGAAGCACTCTAGCAGCTAGAGATGCTCTCGGCTACGCCTCGAGCATCTCTTACGCTGCTCTCGTGCTTCCAGAACTGGACATACGCACGCTCATTATGGACCATTCCTTAAAATGTCGGCCATGGAAAACTTTGTCGAAGAATCTTCAAAGAACAAAAATAGCCCGTTGAGTGGCTGGTGGTGAGTTGTGTTCAAAATTCCTAAGTGGGATTGTATAATCGCGCAAAAAAAAAAACAATGTAGTGCATTTTGATTCGATTTCAATGCATGGTTTTTATTATGGGATACGTTATCTTCATCTCGAATAAAAATAATTGAAGATTTTTTTCCCGATCTTATTTTTACCTTTTCAGATTCATTCAAATTGGGCTCGTATCAGGAGCTCCGCTTTTAGGCAGTGCCTAAATATATATTAAATAACTCTACTTCAAAGACCATCTAATAATAATGATAATGAAAACATATACCTCATGCACCGAAGACTCACGTACCTACAGGGTATATAGTCCCACTGCCGTACGAATAGCCGAACACAAGTCGGCGTACGGCTACCTTACGAATAGCCACTGCAAAATTGATTTTATCTTCATCATTGATGAGTAACTTGAAATTTGTATTTCTTAGGTTTGTACTTTTTCCTTGATTGTTTTTCCAAATAAATATAGAGAAATTTGTTTCTTTTATCATTTTCATCTTAAAAATGAAAAATCACATAATGCTGTATCGGCTAATTCTTTACACGTAGTGTTTTGAATATTATTTGTAGTAAAAATCTTTCCAAACAAAATTAAACATTAATATTTTTCTTTTATCATTTTGATAGAGTGACCACAGTTAATCCGTGAAACACTAATTACTTAATAGTACAAAATAGTGTTAGTTAAACAATAGAAAACAATGGAATTAATATTTGCATGAAATTGTGCTATTTAGTATTACTAAAGTTTCACGGATTTACTGTGGTCACTCTAAGTTATTTTTTTAGATGGAAGTTTGAATATCATTTATAGCAAGCACGTATTACGAATAAATATTTAATATTATTTTTTTTCTTTTCTTTATATTATGATGAGTTAAAATTCTATAAATAAAATGTTTTCAGTCAGTTGTGTATCAGCTAATTCTCTCTACATTTATTATAACTTTTAATGTCATTTGTAGCAAGACTCAATACTAAAATAAACCAGATAGCATTTTGATGGATATCTATTAAAGACCTAGTTTATATTGTACTAGAGTGCAAACAATATAACCGTGAAACTTTAGCAATGCTAAATAGTACAATTTCTTGCAAATTCCACTGTTTTCTATTGTTTARGGTGACTGCCTACTTTTGGAAAATGATTTAAACTTTTTTTAAAACTTCGATTTTCCGAATTGAAATTTAATGCTGATTCCAAATCTGGAAAGAAAAATTGGAGCTCGAGCTTGTTTTCGAGATAATTAGCATTTATATGGAAGCCTCCGCGCGAGCTTTTGGAGCAAAACTTGCGCCACCGGAAGTGATAAGAAAAAAATTAAGATTCATAAGATAATAGTTATTTGCAAACTATATAATTGCTCGAATGACGGCAATCATTCCACAATAATACATGGATATTTTCGACAAAAAGGCAAGGAGATATACATTGATTTGTCATATTTTGTAGTTTCGGTGCTCTTAAAAAATCTCATAAAGTTAAACAAAAAATACCTACAAAAATCTATTTTTTTCATGTGTAGATATAGATATAATGTAGATATAACCTAGATTTTTAGGAGAGTTTTCGAATGAGCTATTAAAAAATAGAGAGTCCCGTGCAAAATTTGAGGGTTTTGCCCTGTTGAAGCTCAAAACGCGTATGGTTCTTCAATAAAATCTTGTAGATTTTTCAGCGGTTTTTGAGCGCGCGAACATCGTGGGCTCAAATCGAACGTTCAAAAGTAGGCAGTCACCTTAATTATTAGCACTATTTTGTACCATTTAGCAATTAGTGTTTCACGGATTAATTGTTTGCACTCTATTATGTTCAATGAGATACTGTGATATTAGTGTTAGTGCTAATATTGTGATATTATTGTTAGCTATAGCTGCTCAGCTTTGCCTAGCCTGCATAGCGTCACAGGCCCTTTTTAAGTGCCGCTATGCAGGCTAAGCTTTGAATTGATATTTAATATTGTAGAATTGATGAAGTAATGCCAATCTTGTTGGTAAATATTCATTAGCAAAGGGAAAATAAATTGGTTTGTAAATAACCCATATTGAGTTTAATGATTAAAAATATTATCAGTTGATGTAAAGTGTGATATGTGTTTTATTATTATGAAAGGAAATGAGTAATTTGACGAGGACATCCACAGGCAGCCCAAACAAGGTTCGTGTGTATGGTTTATAAGGGAATGTATGGTAGTTATGATAAAGTTACGAAAATAAAATGTTTCACTCAACAATTTGCTTCAAAACTTGTTGCAGTCGTTGCCTTTACTTTGCTCAGTCTTCTGGCGAAAATTCAGCGCGATTTGAGGCCGTTTAGTGGTTTTTTTTTCAAAATCCGCTCTTCTCTACCTAAATAATGGGAAGGCTGGAGACTTAGCACCCGATATCGACTACATCACGCTAGAAAATTCAAAACAAATCTCTCTCTCTCCCCTTGAACCGCAAGTTGTCAGAACGCACATTGATGACAGACAACTAGATGGTTCAGTACTCAGCATTTATTCTTACAACTAGATGGGTTTGACTAATCRAAAAATAAAAATACGTTGCGACTGGGGAATGGATCACCTCGAACACATTTACCGTTTGCTAAAAAAATATCTTTTTAATATTTCTCTCCAGATCATTTTTACGTTTTTCCTCTTTATTTTCATTACCCTTTCAAAGTCAGTGAAAGAGATTTAGGCAAAAATAAATTGCATTGATAACAAAAAAACAAAAAACAAAAAAAAAATCGCAGTGTCAAAAGTTAATGTATTAGCCCAAATAGACAAAGTGTCAGTAATAAATGAATATGATATATTTACCTATAATTATTCTGACATTATATTTTATCGGCGTCAATAGAATCCAGATAATTATACTAGAAATATCAGAAGCAGATCTAGATAAAAATTATCTTAAAGAGTTCTAACTTATCAAAACTGACTAATTGCATACTAAACCATGATTATTGACTTTCGTTTCAAGCTGACTGAGATTACAATGCATAATCTTATCTTTTAACTAGCTCAAGAAACGCATATTGGCTGATTCTAATGGGAAAAAAGTACCACCATTCTTGATTGGTTAGTTTGTAAGTGATATTATCTTTATAAGCAGCAGGACATAAAACTCGGAAAGAGCAGGTGCTGAAAGTCATTATCAGTCTCGTTGATAGTTATCAATATATTATCCATATATAAAAAGTTTTAAAAATCAATTTCGTTCAGATAATRTATAGTACTGTTTATGGTCATTATAATCCGCTTCAATGCTTTGCGGATTCTAGTATCTTAGCAACGATTATATTAGTAACACTAACCTTTATCAATGTCTCCCGACGACGACGACGACGACGACGACGACGACGACGACGACGACGACGACGACGACGACGACGACGAGTGCTAAAAATTAGTGTTTGTTTCACGGATTTAGTGTGAGCACTCTACTACTACTACACTATGCAGATATAGGATTTTAACATTCTGTCAATTTTATCTATACAAATCGCAAATTATTGAATATCCCTTTGYGTTCTCACAAGTTATCTTACAAGACCGTTTACTATACAGTCAATTCAAAAAATGTTGTCGTCGACCAAGTCAAGCTTACGCGACTGGACCGAAAGGAACTCTGGGTAGCAATCATTGAAGCCGAGTTGACTCCATAATTTTATCTGACTAGTTATGCCTGGTTTACAGCACGAACCTTCGTAGGCGAGCGGGAATTGTTGAAGGACACGTATTCTTAATGCCTTTATATTTTCCAAATTGTGAACTGAATCATAACTACTTTGTTTTTCTTTCTCTAAACCCGAAGACATGCATTTGATGGATTGTTTCTCGACATTATTATTATTACTAGCGAGAAAAATTAATTCAGAACGAATATTTAACCGCTTCAGTGATTTTTACCCATATTCCTTTCGGTTCAGTCGCGTAGGCTTGAGCCGGTCAACGACAACGTTTTTTGAATTGACTGTATGTACTATGTTTGTATGAGTGGTATAGCAACAAATCAGCAGCAAAAAAATAGCTAAATCATCCATCGCATCCATCTAACTATATATCTCATATTAAATATGACAAAATGCTTATTTAGAATGCCACTCTTGGCTAGCAGAGCTCCCATGAAGTAAATGTTGATAAAAATGTTTCCAAGAAAAAAATAATAGGATAATAGCGATTCTGTCATTTAATAATAAAGCACAATAAAAGTGGGTTATAATGGCGGAAATATGAAAAAAATGATAATCAATTTGAACAAACTAATAATAAAATCTTCAATCACGAGTTAGGATTATGTCATTTTTATAACATGGCGGCACCTTTAGAAGAGTTCCGCGATACCTAACCATTTATGAT